CGTTAGAGTCAGACTGAGGTACTGTACGGTGTGGTTCGTTTTTGAGGTGTAGTGTAAGGGTTATGTTGTCTTTTTAAGGTGCAAGGGTTGGGGTTGAGGGTCTATACGGCTTTGTTTTGCACACCTCTTCAGTATGCTGCCAGGCATTGCGGATGTAAACCACAGTTCGAACTTGATTTATCTCCACTGACTCTGGTGACGACGAAGCTCATACATTCCCGCATAGACGACGACTGAAGGATAAAAAAGAGTTGTATACGGGACGGAAGAGTGACTTTGAAAAATTATCCGCAGCTGGCATGTAAAGACTTTGGCAGCACTCCAACTGCGGGCGTTTGGCTCAAGACTGGCATCTGCAGATGCGAAAGTAAAAAGACTTGTGTTTCAGAGGCCCGTAGGGTAGCGTGCCCCGTGCCGCGCCTTCGCCCTGACCCGTATAGATAATACTCAGCTCTTCGGAGCGCGCCTGGACTAAGGGCTCCCGATACCCAGAGGATATCTGGGGGACACGTCAGCCTCGGACGTATAAACAAGGCGTTTACCGCGCTGAGCCTGAGGGAGAGACTAACTGGGCTCATCCTTTGCAACATACTTACTTGGCATAAATCACCTTTCACCTCCACCTCAACTGAGCACTGCGGTGCCAACTATGCGCTGCGTGCATATACTTTGATGATATTAAACTGCTGTGTATACATACTTATTCTAATTGATTATATACTGGAACACGAGCCATATCCTGGTTAGGAAGTCCAAAAAAGGTTCTGCACCGATCTACAGGCTTGCTCGACTCTCAACTTGGGAACATAGCCTTCTGCAGCTCCTGCCACTGCAGGGCCGCAGTTATCCGAAACGTAGACACTCGGACAGCACGAACTACAGGAACCAGGCCTACACAAGCTTTGTCAGACAGGACAAGGGACTCCATCGCGACTCTTGCTGGTGCAGGTGGACCAACCGGCGCCGGCGGACCCTACCTCGGCCTTGGAGGCTCTCTGCGAGAGCTCCTCACGACACTTCGACCAGCACCACCGGCTCCTTGGACGTTTATTGCAATTCGATATTCGCAGGTTTTTGCGCATGGAACAGTGGAGCCCAACAACTCAAAAAGAGTTGCACTTCCTCGTTCTCAAACAGGGCGTCCAACGGCGTGATGCCACCGCACCCCCTCTGAGTAGTCTCCCCGCACTGCAGTACCCAGTTTTTTGCGCGAAAACCGTTTTCCAACCACCCACATCCCAGAATCGGGGACGAAGCCCGGCTCCAAAATGCATCCACAACCACCAAAAAAATCCCTCCCAACCGCAAGCCTGAGCCCCAGCAGCCAAGGCTTGGGCGGACCCAGACCGGGAAGTCCCAGAGCCTTTGCCCATGGAGGCTTTCTGGGTTTCTGATTAAGGGTTTAGGGTTTAGGGTAGGAGGAGGGGGGCGTTGTTATACGATGTTTATGTCAG